TTGTACAAAAATACGAGGGAGTGGTTGACACATCGTCAGTGTGGCTTTGTTTATGCTGGAGTGAGCATTAGTCTCCGTGCTCTTCCAAACATTTCACAATAATTCATTGTTTGGTGCTTGTAGATTGAGTGCAACTGGAGTGGTAGAGGCAGTGGTTGAGGCAGCTGTTGAGGCAGCTGTTGAGGCAGCTGTTGAGGCAGTGGTTGAGGCAGCGATTGAGGCAGTGGGTGAGGCAGCTGTTGAGGCTGCTGTTGAGGCAGCAATTGAGGCAGTGGTTGAGGTAGCTGTTGAGGCAGTGATTGAGGCAGTGGTTGAGGCAGCTGTTGAGGCAGCGATTGAGGCAGTGGTTGAGGCAGCTGTTGAGACAGCGATTGAGGCAGTGGGTGAGGCAGCTGTTGAGGCAGCGATTGAGGCAGTGGTTGAGGCAGCTGTTGAGGCAGCGATTGAGGCAGCAATTGAGGCAGCGATTGAGGCAGTGGTTGAGGCTGCTGTTGAGGCAGCAATTGAGGCAGTGGTTGAGGCAGCTGTTGAGGCAGCGATTGAGGCAGTGGGTAAGGCAGCTGTTGAGGCAGCGATTGAGGCAGTGGTTGAGGCAGCAATTGAGGCAGTGGTTGAGGCAGCGATTGAGGCAGCAATTGAGGCAGTGGGTGAGGCAGCTGTTGAGGCAGCGATTGAGGCAGTGGGTGAGGCAGCTGTTGAGGCAGCGATTGAGGCAGTGGTTGAGGAAGCTGTTGAGGCAGCAATTGAGGCAGCTGTTGAGGCAGCGATTGAGGCAGCGATTGAGGCAGTGGGTGAGACAGCTGTTGAGGCAGCGATTGAGGCAGCTGTTGAGGCAGCTGTTGAGGCAGCGATTGAGGCAGTGGGTGAGGCAGCTGTTGAGGCAGCGATTGAGGCAGTGGGTGAGGCAGCTGTTGAGGCAGCGATTGAGGCAGTGGTTGAGGCAGCTGTTGAGGCAGCGATTGAGGCAGTGGTTGAGGCAGCTGTTGAGGCAGCGATTGAGGCAGTGGGTGAGGCACCTGTTGAGGCTGCTGTTGAGGCAGCGATTTTGGCAGCTGTTGAGGCAGCGATTGAGGCAGCTGTTGAGGCAGCGATTGAGGCAGTGGTTGAGGCAGTGGTATTTAATAACATACATGTTATTAATAATAATAATACATGTTAATAATATGTACTATTATTATTTATAACATATATGCTATTAAATACCACTGCCTCAACTGCAGAATTATTGTGAAATGTTTGGAAGAGCACGGAGACTAATGTTCACTCCAACATAAAGAAAGCCACACTGACGATGTGTCAACCACTCCCTCGCATTTTTGTACAATTTCCTTCATCAATTATATCGTATTATTATTTTTATTATTATTATTATTATTATTATTATTATTATTATTATTATTATTATTATTATTATTATTATTACTATTACTATTGTTATTATTAGCAGTAGCAGAAATGCTTGATTCTTTGCTGTGTTCAAGAGTAAACACATGATGTCACCGTCTAATACCTGTCCGAATAGCCATTCCAATATGCAGTCATGAATGGGTTTGCATTATTTATACTGTAGTTTAATAGCAAATAATGAACAAACAAAACACTCACCACACTGAGTGGTGGGAGGGCTGGCTGCCAGTTGCGGGGGTCGGAGGGAGGGTAGTAGGGACTCGCAGTGGTTGAGGAAGTGGTGGAGGCATTGGTGGAGGCAATGGCGGAGTCTGTGGTATTTAATAACATACATGTTATTAAAGCATAACATGTATATTTTTAGTACAGTTTATGACGTTTTCATGTATTTTATGGTTGTTCACGGTTCAACAAGTTAAGGAAGCAGTATTGTATTATATTTCCCTACAATATATTGGGGCACCAAACATTCACGGTTTTTCAACATTCGCGAGGCTCTTGATCCCCTAACCCTCGCGAATGTTGAGGGAGACCTGTATAGTATTTATGGCTGTATTCTTGTTTTCTTGGTCTCATTTGATAGAATGGAAAACATGTTATAGAAATAGAAGTGATTTTGATTGGTTTTACTATAAAAAGAACCCGGAAATGGAGCTCAAAGTAGGGGAAATGTTTGATTTTTGCCGATGTTCAAAAGTAAACAAATGATGTCATTGTCCAGTAAATGTCCAACTAGCCATTCTAATATGCAGTCATGAATGGGTTGATGTTATTTACACAATTATTACAGTATTGCAGTAGTCTGCATAATAGTAAATCTTCTATTTTTTGTTTGAATAAAAATTCAAAATAGAAAGCAAGAGTAATATCAGAGGGGCCTGGAGATGTGACTGATGAACAAAGAAAATGTCACTTTAGAGCCAGGAATGTCTGCATTGTTCATTCTGGACCTTATTTTGAAATTGTCATATTTTTTAATTTTCGTGAAATTGGCCAAATTGCAAATTTCTGACCACATTATTGGGTAGTTAAAATCGGTAAATGGGCAGTTTCTTGTACTCAATCGATAGAAAAAATGGAGTTCTAAAGAAATAGCTATGAGTTTGGTCGACTAGAACAACGGAATTAGCCGAAAATAGGGCTCAAAGTGGGCGAAATTGTCGATTTGTAAATATCGCTGAGGTCGCTAACTTTGTGAGAGTGTAATTCCATCAGTTTTCCATAAAATTTCGTGTTTTTGGTGTCATTACAATTGCAAAAAGATTCTCTGTCATTTCATAAGAAATTTTTTTTTTTTTTTTTTTTTTTTTAAATTTTGCGACACCACGAGACACTTCAGGATTGGGGGTTGCGACAGTCAAGGGGTTAAATGCTGTATGTTGATAATTTGTTAAAATGACATATGTTCATAACATATTTAAATGTTGCATGTTCATAACTTGTTTAAGTGTTGTATGTCCATAGCATTTGCATATTTTATCATGAGAAAAATACACAGCACATATTGCACTATCCTCAATATATACATATCCTTATTGATATTTAGAATGTCTTAAAGTAACCAGTAAATAATTGCATGCATTTCTTTGAATTAAAATAAATGCATAATGCATCTTTGCTTCCTAGCAGATGAGTAGATTTTACAAATTGTCATTCATATTCAGTAAAGTTTTTTTTGTGTGTGCAGCTCTGATAAATAAAAGTCACACATTTTATGTAAAATTGCTGATAAATTAGTGAACCACTTCTCTGATGGGACTAGAAGACTGATAATGTAATAGAGATATTAGTATTAAAAAAGCTGCATATTTTTTTTTTTTTTTCAGATTATGCTTTAAGTGCATAAAATGTTTTGTTCTATTTGATTCATTTTTATTTTCCACTTAAAATGTTGTGAGTTCTTAATTCTTTCGTCTGTGATGTAGGTTATGCTGTGTATACAATACTGTGACTGGTAACAGTGTGTACATAGTAGTAAGGCTATATATTGTATATAAGAACGAAGGAACACTGCAGAAGGCCTACTGGCCCATGTGAGGCAGGTCCAAGTCTCCTACCGGCTTAAGCCAATGCACCCAACCTAGTCAGGTCAGGTCACATTGACTTAAGGGAGGAACATGGCAACCGACCTGGTAGCACAAGCTATCAGGTCTAACTCACACCCACCCACATCTACTCATGTATTTATCCAAGCTATTTTTAAAGCTACACAACGTTCTGGCCTCTATAACGGTACTTGGGAGTTTGTTCCACTCATCCACAACTCTATTACCAAACCAGTACTTTCCTATATCCTTCCTGAATCTGAATTTTTCCAACTTAAAACCATTGCTGCGAGTCCTGTCTAGGCTAGATATTTTCAGCACACTATTTACATCCCCTTTATTTATTCCTGTCTTCCATTTATACACCTCAATCATATCCCCCCTAATTTCTACGTCTTTCTAGAGAGTGCAGTTTCAGGGCCCTTAGTCTATCCTCATTGGGAAGGTTTCTGTTACATGGGATCAACTTTGTCATCCTCCTTTGTACATTTTCCAGAGAATTTATATCCATTCTGTAATACGGTGACCAAAACTGCGCAGCATAATCTAAACAGTACTGCTTGAGGTTACATATATACAGTACAGTGATATTACACTGTATATACAGTAATGTGACTGAGGTTGTACTGTGTATACAGTACAAGAAGGCTCCACTTTACAGTACTTTGCTTTGTGGTATTTTGCTATTACAGTGGTTTTCAGTTAAACGCATTCTTCATTTATTCACTTCCACTCACTTTATATAAGCTAAGGACAAAAATACTTTAAAACAATGTGTGTACTGTAGTATATGCATTTTTTTAGGGCTAGCACTATTGCTCACTTAATATTTGATAGTGTAAACTTGTTATCAGGTTTTTATACACATTTGAAAGTGAAAAAATCTATATTTCACTTTAGAGTGACTTTCACTTTACAGCAGTAGCTCAGAGCTTAACTTGCTGTATAAGCAGGGCCCATCTCGACCATACTGTGAATAACAAACAAATATTAATTTTTTTTTTTTTTTTTTTTTTTTTTTTTTTTTTTTTTTTTTTTTTTTTTTTTTTTTTTTTTTTTTTTTTAGTAAACACAGTATTACTTGATTAGAAAAAAGTACAGTAGAATCTCCATATTCACAGATTCAATTATCCACCATGCCCCAAAATTAACTCTTAATTTTGCTTAATAAAGGCCACAAAGCACAAAATTAATGATAATGATATTTCTTCAGAGCCTAAGAGAAGTCAAAAAGTGCTTTTCATCATTGAAAAGTGCTAATTCTCCACTTATTGTTCAATTTATCAATTAAACTTTATCATAGATGTGTATATAAACGAAAAAAGACTTGTATATTTAGGGTTCGCTATTATCTACAGTTTTGTGTATCCATAGTAGGTCTTGAAACGTATCCCCCATGGATATGGGGGGGACTACTGTACTTAGAATTTAAATGAATTATAATTATTGTAATTTTTCTGTTTGCAAAGCAAAAATATCATTGAGATGCAGTAGTTGTAAGGATTTCTTTAAGTTTTGTGTTGTAAGTGTTGTGTTGTGTTGTGTCAGGCGCAGCAACCTTCCCACTCGTGCGGTGAGTGAGCGTGATCTCACCCGCAGTAACAGTCTGTCCAGTAAATCCAGAGGAGATACAGTACGAGGGCGCTATGCTTCAGCATCGTCTCCAGTTTCAAGACGTGGTCTTCCTTCTTCTGATATTAGTCGGCCATCATCTGCTGCTTCTACTGTGGATATGAGTCCTGAGGAATACCCAACTCGTGATGACTTGTCATTCATAGACTTTGAAAATATGCCGCGTGAGTATTGCTCTTGTAGGTGAATAATCTTTTTTGAAAATGAATTTTCAATCAAATCATAAAATTAGTAAAATTTTACATTTCAGTTTGAATTTAAGCTGTTTGCATGTATTTTATTTCATATAATTACTTACTTATGATTTGTGATGGATATTTCAGTTAGCAAGATACAATGATAGTTCTATATTCCAAACAGGGTATTAATGTCTTCAGATAGAGAAAGTAACCTGTTAAGGGAACTGATCATTAGGGATGAAAAATTTAATTATCTAGTTCATGATATTTTTTAAACATCAGTACAGAAAGAAAGTGAGAGTAGAGAGGTACCAGTCCCCCTCCCCTCCCCTTCCCCAAAATAAATACAACAAAACCTCATAAGGAGCACCAATGTAAAGTGTTTTTAATAGAATACTGTTTGTATTTATATTTAAAAATTATTAGTACTATATTCTGCTTTGCCCAAGATTACTTGCCATAAAAGATTTATCTGACCAAGATAAAGCCAGTTGTTGAGTCTGGCTCGACATTGTGTGTTCTGTAGTGGCCCTCATAACTTCAACAGACAACCAACTCACAGCCGTCAGCTGATAAAACATAAACAGATGACTTGTTACTGTTTCTACCTCTCAAAAATCACATAATGATCTCTAAATGCTTCTTTATCAACAAGCCAAAAAAAACAATGAATTTAGGGTATGATAAAATTCTTCCTGTCAGTATCAAAAATGAGAAAATTGTATATTAAAATGCACTGAGTGACATCAGCTAATAAAAACAGATGATACACACCTGTATCTGTCAGTCACATAACTGTCTTCAAACACTTTCTTATCACAAGCAAGAGAACAAAGATTCACAGGGATTCACCAAGAGAACAAGGAATTTAGGTTATTATGAACAAGAAAATTGTATAGTGAAATGTAATAAGTGGTATTAGTTAATCTAATATTATACAGGTACATTACAGGTTTTTCAGCACTTATAAAATAAATAAAATAAAATTTTATTTCTTTGATAAAGTTAGTGTGTTTACTTTTCATAATTTGATTGGAACAAAGAAAGCCACTATCATGCCAAGGCATTTCGGGCACACTTAATCTAATACTTATAGACTACTTAAGTTTAGACAGGTGAAGAGTGGTAGAATAAAAATATTCAATATATTTTACTCTGTTATTAATATGAGGTAGTACAATTTATGATACAAACATTCAATTTTAAGTTTGTTTATTATTAACCCCTTCAGGGTCCAAGGCCCAAATCTGAAGTGGTACGTAACCCAGTGTCCAAGAATTTAAAAAAAAAAAAATTTGTTATTTTTTCTTATGAAATGGTAGATAATCTTTTTGTGAAGGTAATAAAACAAAAAGTACGAAATTTGATGGAAAATTGACGAAATTATGCTCTCGCGAATTTTGATGTGTCAGCGATATTTACGAATCGGCGATTTTGCCGAATTTGACTCCCATTTTACGCCAATTACATTATTCCAGTCAACCAAATTCTTAGCTATTTCACTAGTATTACTTCTATTCTATTGATTGAGCACAAGAAATCGCCAGTCAACTGTTTCAACTACAAATTAAAGTGATCGGAAATTGTTAATTTGGCCAATTTAACACAAAGTTCAAAATATTCCAATTTCAAAATAGGATCCAGAATAAACAATGTAGGTATTCCTGGAACTAAACTAACGTTTCCTCTGTTCATTAGTTATGTTTTGAGGCTTTACAAATAACTTCCATTTTTATTTTTTATTCACATAATGAATTTTTATTCACACCAAAAAATAGAAGATTTACTGTTATGCAATACTGTAATAATTGTATAAATATCATCACCATATTTGTGAATGTATATTAGACCCACCAGCTGACGTGTATTAGACGTGTGAGGTCGTTTGTTTACTCTTGAATATCGGCAAAAATTTAACATTTCTGCTACTTTGAGCTCAGTTTCAAGCCATTTCTAGTGCTAAAACCAATCAAAATCATCTCTATTTCTGTAATATGTCTTCCATTCTATCAAATGAGACCAAGAAATCGCAAATACAACTATAAAAAACATACGAAAAAACACTGCAAAGTCGCTGTTTTAATCGAAAAATCATGATTTCAGTTTTTTTTCTCTCATTATACACAGTGTGCTGCAGGATCTGTTTTATGTGGTGCACACATACCACATAGATGTATTCTCTCATATCTAGGCCCAAATGTACCACTCACAGTTTATCAGAGTGAGCTGAGCTCATGACGTAGATCTACGGTTTGGACCTTGAACGTAAAGCCGTAGATCTACGGGACGGACCCTGAAAGGGTTAACCCTTTGACTGTTTCGGCCATATATATACGTCTTATGAGCCACCGTGTTTGATGTATATACAGTGGACCCCGAGTTTCATGATTAATTCGTTCCAGAGAGTCTGCCAACTGGCGAAATTCACGATTGGCGAATCTATTTTCCCCATAATAAATAATGGAAACCCAATTAATCCGTTTCAGACAGCCAAAAGTATTAACAAAAAATTATTTTTTTAAAGATTAAATGTAGATTTACATACAGAAAACAATGACAAATAAATATAAAGCACTAATAAAATGGATAAATGAACATTTAACATCATGCTTAACCTTTATTGATTCTTGTTGGTGTAGGAGGTAGGTAGGTAGGCAAGAGGAAGGCGAGTTTATTATGCTTCAATATGACGCTAATATCTATCACAATTCTTCTAATATGACATTATAAACAATATTAATAACACAGAAACATGATATATATTCTAGAATGAATAAAATATGTCATAATGTATGAGAGGAGTAAATGGTGTAAGTGTTGTTGTTGGGTTTAAGGGCTGCCACTGAGAGAAGCCATGTTTGTGGCGGTGGAGGCTTTGGCCACCACCACCATCACACTTAAAAATTTTTGTAATTTATAAATAAGAAATATTTACATTTTAATTTATAAATAAGTAAGTTTTTTCAGGTATACACAAATACAGTTACATACATAGATTATCATACATAGTAGCATATGTGTAAAGTACCCAGGATAACCCAAAAAATTCAAGAGTGACACATTTCCGTTGGTGTCCTTTTATATTTACACTTATATTTACTTTTATACTTACACTTTTATATTTACACTTAACTTGGAGGAGATGTTAGTTTAATTAGTTAGTTTGATGAAGGAGATGTTGGCAGAGGTTTAGGGTGGTGGAAGATAGCAGGGCGGTGTATGTTCAGTGGTCCTATACACATCCAACAACATTGGAGAGTTACTCTCATGTTGTTTTTCTTTCACTTACTCGCTTAACTTACTTGCTACACTGTTAATTCTACACTTTATCGCTGGCTGGCACTATAGCCTTTATCTATACCTGCTGCTTTAGTATCATGCATATTGTAGAATCACTGAATCACTGCAGAAGGCACATTCTCCCCTCTCTCTTCCTCCTCTACTTTAGTACTTTGCTATGAGTTTTTTCTTGAATTCTATCATGTTTCTCACCTTCTTTACCAAAGGGCTGGAACTAGGAGCTTTCTTTGGGCCCATGGTGGCTTATTTAGCAGTTGCAAGCACAAAAAACAATGAATTATTATGAAATGTGTTGTATGAACCTGTGGGGTGATGGTCACATGCTGGTAAACAATGGCACACTGAGTGTGAATAGTGCAGGAGACTGGCTTTCTGTGCGCGCTGACGGGCAGACACATACCAGAAGGTTGCCGAATCACGAGTCCGAGCACGAACCACGAAGCTAAATTTTGCTGAAAAAATTTGCTGAAAGTCACTGCTGCCGAATGGCGGGGGTCCACTGTATACTCAAAAATTCTAGCGGCTTCAAATCAAGCAGGAGAAAGCTGGTAGACCCACATGTGAGAGAATGGGTCTGTGTGGCCAGTGTGCACTATATAAAAAATCCTGCAGCACACAGTGCATAATGAGAAAAAAAAAATCGACTTTTTTTAGACTGAAACACTGGCTTTGTGGTGCATTTTCGTATAGCATTTATGGTTGTACAGTGGACCCTTGCCATACGATGGCATCACGTTATGTTAAATCCACTATACGATACATTTTAACGCAAAAATTTTGCCTCGCCTCACGATAAAAAACTCGCCAAACGTGATTCCTCCCAAACCTGTCCGTCCAGCCTGAGCGCCTCAGCTTCCCTGCCGTCATTGTTTACAAGCCAGGGTGGCCGGTTGCATGCATACATTCGATACATTTTGTATTCCATTGTTTATAGTGCTTGTAACTGCTAAATAAGCCATCATGGGCCCAAAGAAAGCTTCTAGTGCCAACCCTGTGGTAAAAAGGGTGAGAAATACTATTGTACCACAGTCAGGTGTTGCTGCACCACGGTCAGCTGTTGCTGCACCAGTCACCTGCTGCTGCACCACCGTCAGCTGTTGCTGCACCACGGTCAGCTGCTGCTGCACCACAGTCAGCTGTTGCTGCACCACAGTATATAATAAATACTGAGTCTAATCAAGAGTTACTGAATGTCACTAAAAAAAATCACTGGAACACAAAAAGAAATGTCTCAACACTCGCAAATGTCTCTATGAAAAAAATATTATCACTGTAGCGACTTGGTGAAGAATGAGGTGGAAGGTTGGAGGATGGTGTTGGAGGATGCTTGCTATCGTCTCGTGGCTGGCTGCGATCGCTGACTTCTCTCCACACTCGACAATGGACTCACACAGGAGGCTTTTAATGATGGTGCCACTGACGAAAAAAACACTCTAGCTCATGACCCCCTATGTGGTCCTTAAAATATGGTGCTAGAACCCGTAATAAGGGTACGAAACAGTGGTAATGGTTGGGTGAGTGAGTGAGGCAGGCTGAGGCAGCAGTGGCGAGACCGCGTGGTAATTGGGCCTATGGGATGAACGGCGTAAGCCTCACTGGGGACACCCTCACTAGGCGCGAAAACACTAAGCCTGGCTGGCTTAAAACAAACTCACGAAATACCACAACACCACAGGGATGAAAAA